AGCCTCTCTCCTGACCCCCTCCTGCTCATACTATCCAGCACCATCTCTACCAAGCACAACAGTGCTTTCCTCTTCCCCTGGACCTCCAGCCACCAAAGGGTTTTTTAAAGGCCAAATAGTAAAATACCCTCATTATCAGTCAAGTTGAATGATCGTGATATAATTATTGTCTGGCTCTGGTCTCTACTGTTTGATGGAAGGTGTATAAAACGGGGAAGAAACGTTGCATGGGAAATTCAAGTCTGACAGTGCGACCTTGAACACTAACTAAGCTGGATTTGCATTCCTGGCTACTGTTGCTGGTAGAGTTATCTTGGAGAAATCATCTCCCCTTCGACACTTTTGCTTAGCTACCTCCCCAAGTGGTAGAGAAGACTAATTAGCCACTAGCCATAATATTTTAGAATCCCCAAGAGGGAAGCATAATGCAGCAGTCTTTCTGGTTAAATAGTGCTGCCTCTCACTTTTCCAGTAACTAAATGATTTTCATGATCTTCTCACTAATGAGCTGAAGAAGAAGGAGTTTCAAATGTAAGGGAGCTCAAATCATTGTCACCTGCAATTAAAATAGAGTAAAATGCCAATCACAGCAACAGTGCTTCAGTGCTTAGAATTTCTCTGCCCTGTAAGAGGCCCTAGCAAATATCACCTTATCATTCATATTTTATTTATACCTATAATGTCCTTTGGAATGAATTTTCAGACAGATACATTAACTAGCAGGGTAAACAATTTGGTTAAGATGTGGGGGAAATCTGTCGCAGAGAGGATACAGCCAAGAGTGTGACTGTGTTTGGTTTGAACCCCATACGTGAAGTTGATTTAATTGGAATTGGGTGAGGCATCCCCCACAGCAGGTAACTATAGCCCTAGTGTACCTGCAGCTGAGCTTTGTCAGGGTGCCCCTTGGAGGGGTCTTTGACGCTTCTGGAGGTTTCTCGGCATCACCAATGCCACTTTGAACCTATAAAATATGAGAGAAGCCTCCTCTGCCCTGGGCAGCCACCTCTTCTGCATTGGGCTGGGAAGTCCATGACTTTAGTGTAACTATTCTCTGTGTGCAGCAAACACAAACTGTCTCTCTGCTGACGGCAGGGGTCTCACAGGCGGCGCGTTTGGGCTCCATCTTGCTGGCACAGAAGCAAACACAGGATGATTGAAACAAGGGCTTCTTCTCTTCAGGCAGGGTGTGTGCAGGGAGGTGCTGCTCTGGTCCTGTCCTGTCAAGCCACAGGCCTCATTTCCTTCAGGAGGGGAGGAGTAGAAACAGACTTGTCGTGTGAACTAAGGGAAGGCGATCAAGGACTCATTTGTTCCTTTTGAGAATGGCATTTCCATGAAGTGAGACAGCTGCAGAGGTGTGTGGCTGCAAGGCTCTCATTCCAGCCACCTGCTTCTTGAAAATGTTACGTTAAATGGGAGCCATCCTCTTAACGAGAACTGGGATTAATGTAGAGAAGATGATATTCCAGTGCTTATGGCCTTTGGTTGACAAATTTGTAACCTGCTGTGCAAGATCATGAGCTAGTGACAAAGAGTTGATTTATGGTAATTGGGTCATTTTTCTCTCATGATTTCACTTTCGCTTTTTCATTAAATGTTAATTCCTGTATTATAGGGGATATTGCTCTCTTGAGTAGTGAAGCAGGTACTCCTTGATCTGGAACCATTCCACATGCTTCTAAACCACATGTTTAGAAGGATAACCCCTAAGCAGCTTCCCAAGAAGGACTGGCCTTAGCAGAGGGTTTGGGTCCTGCTCTCACCACTTCTCAGGCTCATCATTACTGGAAGATTCCTTTAAAGTTCCTAAGAATCTGTCAGTTCTCTGAAATGAACATGAAGCATGATTCCCCATGTCAGTCATTGTTAGGTATGAGAATACATGTGTATATATTCTATGCATAGGTGCTGAGTTACATGTAAAACATTATACAGATGTCAAGGATTATTACTACACTTTCATTTTCCAAAAGATGTTTACTTGCAAAAGGCTGCCTTACACATATATGATGTGGATGTGTGTGTGTGTGTGTGTGTGCGCGTGTGTAAGTGTAGCCTTTAGCAACACAACATCAGGGGTCTTGGATCATTTATAATATTGCTGATGGAATTCATAGTCTTGTTCATTCATTCAGTGTCTCTCTGTTGAGTGACTGTGTGCCTGGTATTTTCGAGGTGCTGAGTGATAACTGCTATGGACATTTTTGCCCCTATGTGGCATTTACATTCTTTTGAGGGTGTGTGGGCAGGGGAAGCACAGTAAATATAAACAAATAGGGTGGCTTCAGGCAGTGCATGAGCTCCGGAGGGAGTAAGGGGCATCCTGCACGGAAATGGCATTTGAGCCAGGTCTGGAGTAATGAGAATATGTCAGTCATGCGAAGACCTGGGAGAAATTGGTCTAGGTAGAGAGTGTAAATTCTAGACGGTGGGAAAAATCTTGGGAAATATGAGAGATAGAAAAATGGGGAGCGTATCTGAAGCCTGAGGAGAAAAGGGGACATATAATGAGGGAAACAGCATATAAAGGATGGAGTAGCCAGTGGGAAGGACTCAGACTTTTATCATAGTTGTGATGAGGGACCTTTAGCAGGTTGCAAGCATACCTTGTCTACTACCAGACAGGGAAAACTGAACAGTATCTACTTCAAAAATCACAGATTCAAAAAAAAAAAAAAAAGGGATTAATTCATCTCCTCCCTCTGCAAGGCCTAGGAAAGAAACTCGAACCTCTAGAGGGCGCCAAAGGAAAACGTTTAGCCGCCAACCCACAAAGGCCCTTTCAGCACCTGCAGGAGGGGAGAGCGCTCCCGTTGGTCCCTCCGCCAGGAAAAGGTGTGGAGTCAGGGAAACGCCTCACCTGCAGCTCCTACCCCAACCGAAGGCTGAATGAGCTTGGCTTGTATATACCAGGACTGTGATATTTTACAGGGAAGGGTTGTTTATGATGGGGTGGGGGTGGGAAGACATTTTGGGGTTATTTTTAATCTTCTCCCATCTGGTAGTATTTGAGTAGAGTATAAAACAAATATGGAGCCAAGATTTACTTTCTGGCTTCATTTGGCAAGAAAAGTGTCTCTATACTTAGAATTTTGAAAATAGTCATCATTTGCCACTTAGGATGTGTTATTCTAAATACTATCCCAAACTTACTTGATGAAATCTTTTAGTAATGTGTATGAAGATGGTGCATGAAAAGCAGCAGGTTGTAATAAGTGAAATTATATACAAATCATCGAATAGCTGGGAGATACTGGGAAAACAATAGGTTGTGAGAAACAAGAAAGAGAAAGCAAGAGGTGAAGGGATAAGAAGAGGATGAGGCGGGGGTGAGGAAGAGGAAGAGGAACAAGAAGGTAAGAGATCGAGGTGCACAAGAGAATGCAAGAAAAAAAAAAACGGGATCGCTGGAGAGAAAGGGAGAGATTTAGACCACATTGGGGTTCAGAGCCACACGTAAAGAGAATTGAGAAACACAACTACATATAATTATATACAACTCCGGATTGAGCTTTTATCATAGGTGGGTATTAAAGGTTCATTACGAGTTTGAGAAAATATTAATCATTATCTCTATTAAGGAAAAGTGCAGCTGGTCATTCCTTACTCGGCGGCTCTCATCTCCTCATTTCATGCCTCATGATCACAGCCGTGTGCTTTACTTGCCCTTTGCTCTGCCCAGGGAGACTTCAAAAAGCACCGTAAAAGCAGCCAACCAGATAAGTAATCTGAGCGCATGATATAAAACCATCAAAGAGAGAGAATCCCAAATCAACTGGTAACCCAGAAGGTCAATGATGAGGAAGCGCCCTAACAGTGCTGGCGCTTGAAAACTCATGAGCAATTTTTGTACCTGTTAATTCTAAGAATCTTCTCGTCAACCTGACCACAAGGGAGAAGAGTTTTTCAGCTTCCACTACAGCAAAAATGGTTCAGAGCCTGGAGCAGAACAGCACCCACAAAGCAGCCCTCTCGTCAGCCTTCTCTTTGCAACCACTTCAGCTGTCACATTTCCCTCATTTTATTGAGAAGCTCCCAAATTCACCCTACTGTTACCCACTAGACATAGGACAGAGAAAGTGCCAGACCATTCATTACCTCTTAATTTTAACGGATCTAAACAATCCAGTCGGTGTCTACCTTCTCATTCACAAACAATGGCAACTTTGTTCACATAACACATCCATATTTAATGGGTAGAGATAGAAAGAAAAGGGGAGAAAGAGACCTAGGGAGTCAGGTTCCACCTAAATATTTCAAACTATCTACACGGCCTTTCAATTAAGCAAAACTTGCATTCTTTGGCAATGACATCCCACCAGCAGCCCCAATTCCTGTTGATGTATCCAAGCCCTAAGTTTCTTTAGATCTCGTAATAAAAAAAAAATCATCAAATATATATATATATCATCTTAGCTGCCCAAGGCAATGAAGATTCCCAAATACAACATGTGGCATAGGATTGTTTATGGGATTGGCTTAGATAACACATGTGGGCTGCCTAGCACTGGCGATTAGTATGTGCCAAGCCGATATCAAAGCATTTGAGAATTAGGATGTGTGGCACAGAGCAATACAGACACCCAGCTCAGAATCCCAGCGTCCCTGACTGCACCCTGCTGTGACTTTTATGAGCAGAGCTGTCAAGTAACCAGTCACCTTCTAAACCAGGGAACTTCTCCCCTTCTGTCTCCTGTTTCAGGGATTAAAGATTGGGGAGGGGGGTGGTGGAGAAGCAGAAAGAAGACTGTTTCTTAGCTGATACCAGAGAATTACTCAGAGAATCAAAGTAGAATCAGAGTTAATGGAACTTCAGAGGTCACTGAGTTCCAGTTCCTCTGAGAGGCGAGAGCTACCAACACCCCCTACACCCAGGACCTCCTACCCCAGCTGGGAGAGGGGGCGCAAAGTGAGTGGGGCAACCCTGGCCCTCAGAAAGCTACTTTTCCATAACCCAGGAGAGTCAGGGTGGGCGAAGTAAAGCAGGGAAGACTCACCTGGTTGATGGAAATGACCGCCAAGCGGGGGATGAGCACTTGGAGGACCACCTGCAGCAGCGAGGTGCCCAGGCCAGCCAGGATGGCCCAGGTGAGCGGCAGGGGCAGCATGCTGTAGGTGGCGAAGAGCGTGAAGAGCACGTAGCCGATGCCGATGCCGTCTCCCAGGAGGCCGTAGCCGAGGCCCGCTGCCAAGATCTGGGTGGTCATGGCCACCCAGGTGACCACGCCACTGTACTGCAGGTACGTGTGCGAGGTGGTGTCCTTCCTGACCACCACCAGGGCGCAGATCACCACCTCGATGCCGGTGAAGAAGCCCAGCAGGATGCCCTTGAGCGGGTCCATCGGGGCGGAGGCCAGGCTCAGGTGCAGAACCAGGAGGGTGAGTTTGGTCAGCACATCCAGCACGTTCATCACCACCTCGGATTTGCGCCTCTGGCCCAGGAAATAGCGCTGGTAGAGGCGCTCCAGGTCCCGGGACTTGAAGGAGTTGCGCAGCGTGGGGAAGATGACCCCTCGGTAGCTGTAGCCCCCGCTGAGGAAGAAATCCGAGTTGCTGGGGGCGCAGTCGAGGTGCAGGAAGCCCAGGTCGCCCCCGCCCGCGCTGCCGCTGCCGCTGCGCTCCGGGAAGACTTTGGTGCCGCCGGCGGCGTGCGCCCGCTCCCCGGGGCCCAGCGCGTACAGGGGCAGCGCCGGGTCGCCCGACAAGCGCGGCGCGGGGTGGTTGGGGCCGCCGCCCGCGGGCTCCGAGGCTTTGCCCGCGCCGCCGCCCGCGCCGCCGCCGCCCCGGGGCCCGTGCAAGAAGCGCTGCTCGGTGATGTGGCGCACGGCGGTCTGCCAGAGCAGCCGCTGGGGCCGCGAGCCGCGCCCGCCGGCGCCCGCCGGGGGCGTCGGGTGGATGGTGTAGAGTTCCTCGCCGCCGCTCAGGCAGCGCACCTCGGAGAGCTCCATGGCGCCCGGCCGCAGGCGGGGAGGCGCGCGGCCCGGGGAGGGAGGCGGCGCGGGGAGGGGGCTCCGGAGACCCGCGGGCGGCCTGGTCGCCGCGCGGCCGCGAGCCCCGCGCTGCCCCGCCGCCCGCCGGCGGGAGCCCAGGGCAGGAGGCCCCGGCCCGTCAGGTCATGGTGCGCCCCGGGGCAAAGGGCGCCCGCGAGGTCGCCGCAGACCCCGGCGCCCCGGCGCGCCCCCGCCCGCCCGCCGCCCCGCGCGGCGGTGTCCGCAGCAGCCGCGGCGCTCCGGGCCACGCAGCCCCTTCCCGGCTCGGCTTCTGGGCAGCGGCTCCGCTCAGCGTCTCGGCGCTGCCTCTGCTCTCCAAGAGGCGCCCGGCGCCGGGGCGCGCTGCTCCCGCTGCTCCCGCTGCGCGCCGGGCGGGTCCGGGCTGCGGCGCGGGGCTCCGGACGCCCACGGCTCGGCGGCTGCAGGGCCCGGCCGGGCTGGCCCGCGGCGGGGAGGGCTGCGAAGTTAGCCGCGGCGGCTGGAGCGCAGCCCTCCGGAGAACTCCATTGCGCCGGGATGGGGAGCCGGGGCGGAGCTGGGGGCGGGGGCAGCGAAGGGGGAGGCGTGGGGGCCGGTGAGCTGGCGCGCGCCCCGCGGGAGGCGTGGAGAGGTGGCAGTCTCGGCGCCAACAAGTCACCAAACAGTTAATTTGGAGGGGGGTGCGCTCAGGCTGCCCCTCGGCTCCTTCGGGGCAGCCGCCGCTCCCGGGGCGAGGACCGGGGCGCAGCGCGGGCGCTGCGAGGGCCCCCGACGCGGCCCCCGGGGAAGGCAGAGTCTCAGGGTCCCACCGCGGCTCTAAGGCGAGGTCCACGCGTCCGGCTGCGGCTCGGCGGGGGCGCAGCCCGCGATTGTCAGCCCTTTCACTTTGCTCTTTGGAGTCCTCTCGGCCTGCGGCTGCGAGGCGCGGGGGGCGGGAGCAGGAAAAGTGGGGAGGGCGCCAAAGCCCGCAGCTCTGAGAACGAAGAGACGCCACCGAGCGAATCCCCGGGCTACGGACCGAAGCTCGGGGGTGCGGCGGGGTAAGGTCTGGGTGAAAAGGGAGGCCGCGGGCAGGTGGCGACCGAGACGCCTTCGGATCCCGGGAACCGCCGCGCGCCACCCCGGCGCTCCGAGGCGCGCGGCGGGCGCCAGGCGGTCGGCAGGAATTGGGGACCTGTCAGATGGGTCAGACACCCGCGACGACTCGAGCCCGCCTTCCTGCCAAGCCCCGCCCCGGGGAGGGGGTGGGGCGGAGCCGGGGGCCGGGACTCGGCGCGCAGACCCGGCCAGGGCGCCCGAGATCTCGAAGGCGGCGGAGCGCGGAGGCCGGCGTGGAGAGGGCGGCTGCGGGCCGCGGCGGGAACCGGGTCCTTCCCCGGCGCGAGTGGCCAGCGCCCCAGCGACCGCGCGGGCCTCCCCCGCGCTCTGGCTCTAGCCCAGGCAGGTGCCAAACTAGCACCCGTAGGCCGCTTGGCCCGCGGACTCGGAGAGCCCAGCGCGGCGCCCGGAGGGTCTCCTCCAGCCCTCCCCACCGGGGCGTCTTCTGGCAAAGCCAACTTAAGGTCTAACAGCAAAATGCCGCAGTTACAGAAGCGGGCTGATTCCTACACCTGTCTTTCCACTACCCCAACCCCGAGCCGGGTGGGTTAGGAGGGGGGCGCCCCCGCCTACTCGCACACCAAGCTCCCCCTGTTTAGAGTTGGGGTCGGCAGGAGGACCGAGGAGGGCGCTCCCGCCGCTGCTGGAGCCGGATTTCCCGCCCGCCGGGCAGCGCCGAGCGGCCGCGGGCAAAGCCCCTGGCTGCGCCCTGGGCGCGCGGAGGCGCAGCGGGGTGGGCGCGTGCGGTCCGCGCCCCCGCGGGGCGGAGCTGGGGACTCTGGGCGCGGGTCCGCGGGGCGATGCGGCCGCCGAGCGCGGTGCGGCCCCTTCCGCCGCAGCCCGCGGGGCCGGCCCGAGCTGTCAGCTGATGGCCAATGACGTCAGGCCCCGGGCGCTCGCGCGGCCCCGGGTGGCGTCCCGTGCAAGCCCGAACCCTCGGCTGCTGCACCTCAGCAGCCCCGGAGCAGGCGACGTCCCTTGCTCTCCCGAGGAGAGGCTGCCTGCCTTTGCCTGCCCTGCGTTAGGACAGCTTGCGGCGTCCGCTGCCCAGCCACGCACACCCTCTCCAAGGCAGGGTCCGCTGTGTGCCCCAGAAACAGCGACTTCCTTATTTCCTTTTCAATTCTTTCTTTTCCTTCGCGCTTGGGTTTTGATTTAAGCCCAGAACCGGTCGAATGCTTTGACTCCTGGAAGAGGGGAGATGCCTCTAACATCTTCTGGGTCCCCGAACTAGTCGATTTGTGGACTGTGATACCCACCCTGGAAATGAGTCTTTTAACTCCAGTCCTTTGGAGATGTTTTGTACCATCCCTCAAGAAAGGCAACCAAATTCAACACTCACTTTTAAATAGAAAAAAGGCCCATTCTATTTTTAACCCAATTTGTAGATGAATTAATTTGGTATCCATAAAGATCTCCCAGAGCAGCAGGTTTATCCCATGGGGTTAGAAGTTAAGGATGAAGCACACTATAAAAGCTCAGTTTTGCAGTTAGCTAGACTTTAAAGAAATAATTTCAGGAATTACAACCCTGAGAAAGATTTGCTTCTTGCTTCTCCTTTCCTAGATTCCTTGGACTCATCTGCCTAGCCAGCTGCCTTTCTCCAGAATCCCTGGGGTGGATAGCAAGCATCTTGGCTCCAGGAGGGACCCCAAACAGGGCAGAGGTGGGGGAGGGAGCCTTCTGCCAGGAAGTTTGGGGAGCTGTGTCCTCTCCCTGCAGTCGTAGCCCGAAGTCATCTGTGCTAATGACCATATTAGTAAACTTGGCAGTGGAAGACACCTCTTTATTTTCTCAATTCTTGCTCTTTGGGAGCCTGAGAACTCATCCTGAATAAATGGGGGTTGAATGCAGATGGAACTTTCCTATGAAAATCTTCCTCCTGGACATACCAAGAGGAGTTATTCAGCAGCTAAAGGAGGCGTGCCAAGGAGGGGGAGATTGGACCCAATCAGATAACATGACTCAGCCTGATGAATGATCATAGCTTGCTACAGAAAGAAACTCAAAGAATTCCATGAACTTCAAGTTCGAAACTAATGCATCAGGGAGAAACCATGGCATCTGGTGGCCTGACTCTTGCGAACTGCTCTTTGCTGGAAGAGGATGGGACAGGTTGAATGAATGAATGTCATAAAGGAATGAATGATACAACTAGATTCAACTGGCATTTTCCTGGGGAAGACACAGTGTCATGCCACCAAAAGCAGCATTGCTTTTAGAGTGACAGCACTGGCCCAGCACAAATATGGAGAAACTTTTAGGAATATGCAAAGCATCAAGGGTTTTCACTTAGAACAGAAGTCTGCATGCTGCTTTGAGGCTGTGGTGAGCCACTCCTTAAGCTCTCATTAATTCCCAGCACGCTTTAGTGGCTGGGTCTCTGCTGCAATCCTGGGGCAGTATTTTGCCAAGGCGGTGTCTTTTTGTACATGTCCCCTCTTCTTGGCGTTTCCTCCATAATCCCCCCTCAATACACAGCTCACCCCATCCTTCAAAGCCTGAGCAATGTGGCCTGTGCATGGCGTGATGTTCCCCATGTGAATTAATGACTTTGTTTTCTTTGGTCCAACAGTCTTCTGGGTATTTCTACTATGGCCCTTACTTCAGGGACAGGCTAGGGCCCATTTGCTTGCTCAGCTAGCTCTCACCTCTCTCCACAAAGCACTGATTCCTTGAAGGGAAGAATGGATTTTCCTTGTGCCCAGACCCCAGTTTCTAGCCTCTAGAATGAACACAGAGAGAATAAGAAACACTGTAGTGATTTATCAAATGTGCCTCCCTGAAGACCATCACCAACATCTCACTTAACCATCCCAGCAACTCTCTGAGCTAGAACCTTCTCTATTTTTTTTATTAATCCCATTTTACTGGCAAGGATGCTGAGGCTTCATGTGGCTTACCAACTTACCCAGGATCTCAGGGTTAATAGCAAAATTCCAGCAACCAAATTTGAGTTGTATAAAGCTGGCATCCAAAAGCTTAAAAAATGTGACAAACTGTCCAAAATGTTGACCTATATTAAATAGGACTGATAGAAATGAAAATGTCAGATACATTTTGGCTTTCGAAATACAAATTAAGTAAGAGACTTCTGAGATCATTAACCTCTGAGAAATCTGGTAGGATGACTCTGAGTGACATATGAGGGCAGTGGACTTCATCCTCAGTTGGATAGAAGGTATGTTAGTTTTCGCTCAGTTTAAGCCATAGACACTGCAGTTTTTGATAAAAACAGATTTTCACATATGGAATTTAATTAATTGATTTGGTCTACTTTATTTCCTTTTTTTTAAAAAAGATTTATTTATTTATTTATTTATTTATACAAGCACTGGGTACAATCAGAAGCATGGGAGGGTGAGAGAATTCACCAGAGCCAGAGCGGGGAACAGAACAGGCAGACTGACGAAATATACTGCTGAGGGGAGCAGCGGGCATGGCAGGGGAGATCTGTGCGCCTTGTGGGACCCTTGCCGGTGGCCCGAGATCAAACTGGAGCTGCAGAGGCTGCAGGCAGCATCGCAGCCCAGTGCTCAACTGCTGCGCCACCAGGGGAGGCCCTGGTCTACTTTATTTCATTAGGGTGGTGGTGGCAGAGGGGAAACATCCTCTGCCCTCCTGGAAAACAGCATATTTGTTTCAAGTTTAATGTTCCTACAGACCTTTGGCCACATTTAGAGTAGATATGTTTAAGAAAAGGACATCTTGTTTTCCTTTGATGCATCTTTGACTTCCTAGGTTAACTATCTTAACATCTGAGCTTCAATTTTATAAGAACTGTGTCCTTTGCAAAATGCCCATAGAAACTCTGACACTGAACAACATATAAAATATTCACATGTAAAAGAAAAAAGATGGACTCACTCCAGAAGGGGACTTGAAACTAGAGAGCTCCTGTTTCTGCTGGGAAGGAGGGTGTAGGTGACAAGCAACTTCCAAGGCTGGAAATCCTTAAAGGAAAAGGAGAGGAAATTGGCTTAGAGGCAAGATCTTAAATGCTTGCACGACAAAATAAAAAAAAAAAAAAGAAGAAAGAGATGTAATTACATGAGCGGTAGCTATATCGATTAGTTTGATTGTGGTGCTGAGTTAATGTGTATAGCAAGACATCAAGCTGTACACCTTAAATATAGGTAGTTTTTATGGCCAATTATTTCTCGAGTAATCTGGGAGGAAAAGGGCCTGTTCATTTGCCTGAAAGTGCCGCTCTTAGGAAATATCGAAGGCATCAAATGCTTTGAGAGAACTTGTTTTTTAAGATTTTATTAATTTATTTTTGTGTAGCACTGGGGTGTAGGCCACAGGTACAGGGGGCAAGAGGATTCACCAGAGACAGAGTGGGGAGCAGAAGGGCCAGATTTACTGAAACACACCTCTAAGGGGAGCAGTATCCAAGCCAGGAGAGGTCTGCTGAGCCATGTAGGTTAGCTCCTTGCCT